GGTTTAAAAGATACAAGTGTGTTGCTTGCTTAGGTATATTCTGGACTTTTTGGGAGAGTTGGATTCTCGGTACCCTCACTACTTTCATGACGAAACACAACGTTTTCGTTGTTTTACGACGGTTCCTTGTGAAGCAGAGTCTCTGTAATGCTGGCATGGCTCTCTTTCTGCGTTCTTGACAATAGATTCTTATACAGAGGAATGAGAAATAAAGCCAGTTTCTTTATTAATTTCTCGTTCAGTTGTTCTTTGGTGGTAAGTTGTAATTAGGTAAGGGTTAGATGTGTAATGAGGTTATGTTTACATGACCTAGTAGTGTTTGGCTGGTCGCCATGTGACGCCGCCGCGTGGTAACAACGTCGGCGACGTCACACGTTGGGGTGTCGATGTGAAGCCTTCAGTGTTTACTCATTTGCTGCGAGTCGCAGAACAAGTTAAGAGCACGGATAATACGTATTTGCCTAATTATGGCTGCAATTTTGAAACTATTAGACAATTTTTATGAATCTCACTAGCGCTTAAGAGACGCTGGCGCCAAAATAAGCTGTTAATGGGTGGATTTCAAAAGTTATTAAATAGTCTACTCATAACTACATACTCATTACTAGGGGATTAATAGCATCCCAGGGAAAGTAGATTTCATGTAAGTTTGGCTCTGATGCTACTAGCATTATAGTTTCGAGTTGCTGCATCTATTGAGTTCCATTAAAAATCAAACAATTCAAAGCGTTAATAAACACGCGCGACGAAAATAGATGTCAATATTGACATATTCCAGTGAGGAATGCATCCATTCACATGTTTTCCATCTTAATGAATTCTTAATGTGGTACCTACTGTCTGTAGTCTTGTGTGTGGGAAATATCAGACGTAATATTATGATATGTTAATTGTGCGGCGCGCAGCGGTAGCGCCAATATTTGCATTGTAATTTATTTTTATTCCAAATCAGTGTTTGTACTGTGAATCCAGACCACGCTCTGTACATTCCGCATTAATATTAATAGAAGTCTCTTCTTGAAGTTCATAAACTGTATTAGTTTCCCACATAGTGCCGGTAACATGTCCGTATATGGCAGGTTGTGTTTTTAATCATAAATTATCTCGGCACCGCCTGATTGGGCGATAATTGATACTAACCGCAAGCCGGCACCACCACACGACCACTGCGGATTGGGACAAATCTTTTCTCATCAAACCTCAGGGTCACCTTCCCACGTGGAGCTGTTCCGTCTCCTGCCACACTACCTCCACAAAATCTCTGAGCTGTCACAAAACATATTCAGGTACTACGCCTCAACTGACCCATGGCCGCAAATACAAATATAGACAAGGTGTGTACATAACACAGTGGGTAAGTACAATGCAGGCGTGCGTATTTCCTAATTCAACTTATTTGATCAGGTAAACCACAACTAAACATCAGCTATCAATAAAATAATCCACAATCAAAGTTTCCCATCGCTCGTAATTCGTAATAAATCATATTATCCAAGTCAAACATCGCTCACATTCGGTATTTCCGCGACACTTACTTAAAACTAATTTGTCGAATCAAAAAATCCGCTAAGTTCAAATATTTGTTCATTATTTTTTGCTGGTACTTGCGGTAATTCTACTTATCGACGTTTGGATTGACTGCTTTTGTATTGTAGTATAGTGAATGGCACTTGTCAGCGGGCCGCGAGCACGCGCCGCGCCGCGGTACCACCTGTCCACATACACAGGTTTAACCATAACCAGTTGACAAAAACAGTTTCGTGTCAGCAAAAACTTCAGTTAATTGATACAGTAATACGCTTGCGGTTTCATGCCATCATTTTAATAAATACACGTTGGAGAAACACCGTTCTAATTATTGGTTTCGATTTATGGAATGGCGTTAAAGTCCGCGGCCCTCGACTCGACTTATATCTTCGATTGCTTCATCACGACTTGAGTATTTCTATTTGGCTGCGGCCGTTGGCATATTCTATCACCAACGCTTAACATGCACAAGGGTTACATTTCGCATTCGCAGTTCTTGTTACTTGCATAAAGTAATAAAATGTACCGTGAACTTGTTCTGTTAAAGCCTTAACGTCACTAGTATTGCGAGGCGGTGGGTTTTCCCGATCAACTCAAACTTTCCTTTAGCCTTGGCTTTCACTGGTTCCCAAGAAAGTTACTAGTTTCCGAAGGTAAATACGTCATCAATATCTGTGTGAAGCCAGTGTTCAGTGTGACACAACCGCTTACTTACTCAGTGACTGATTCTGATTGTGAACTCATTACGTAGTTTCGCAAGTGAGAACATATTTTAAAAGTTCTATTTACTAAGTTGGTACACGATTTGTTCTTGGATATTTAGAATATGAATTAATTACTAAGCCACACGTTTGATTATAAGTTAGCAGTTAGAAATCATGAATGCATATAGTCCAGTTATTTGTGGTGTAGTGTAGATAGTGCCTTAAGTTTTTATGTGATAGAACGGCGAACGAGCAGACGGATTACCTGATGGTAAGCAATCAGCGCCGCCTATGGACGCCCGCAACAAGAGAGGAGTTACGAGTGCGTTGCCGACATTTTGGGGATCTAGGGATTTGCAGATTTAGGGATTGGGGTGAGATTGGGGGAGGTAAAGTATAGAGCCGCCGGTAACCTCACTCATACGGTGAAACACAACGCTGTGGTTGTTTTACCGTTTTCTGTGAGGCCGTGGTATCACTCGAACCGACCTATGCATGCCGAAGCATGGCTGTCTCACACTTTAATTTATACTATAGGTATGTGATTAGTGTAGACGATGTGTAATGCCATTTTTGTAATTAAAAAAATTCTAACAATTAGAGATCTAGCTAACATTGTGAGAACGAGTTTACTCAGATACAGTTTTGCTTGAGCTTTCCATAATAATTAGAAAGGGGACATCTCACACACACTTAAAATTTTATCAGGATAGAAGGTATATCACGGTAGCTATTTCATTTTAGGGTTTTAGATTGATGTAATAATTTTATATCTATTAAATTGTTATGAAAACATAATCATTATGGCGACACGTTGGTCGAAAATGATGGAGTCCGCAGAGTTTCATGGATACTGGGTCCCATGATTGCTAGTTTGTAACCACCTTCCAGCGTGCACCACCACGTACTTTCCACGTTGAGCATCATGATTAGGTAAACTGGAGTGGAGACACGTTCTATACAGGTACCGACGGCTGCAAAATTGGTTCCTCGTTAGCAGCGACTTTTCTACGTAGCCTACGGGCCTAAGTCATAAGCGCTACTCCTATGCTCCTATGGATTAAAATGCGTTCATTTATATCTTAACTTTAATTGCTTATTCGGTGCACCTGATTAAAAATTTAATTAATGTTGTTCTTAGACTAATTTTTGAAAAGATTTAGCTACGGGCTTCGCGCATGTTTGACACTGCCAACGGGCGGTCGTGCGCCCTGTGTTTGGATGGTCCGGAGCCGGCGAGTGGTGCGCTGGTGCGGTAAACGAACTATTCCGGATGTGGAGTGTGAACCCGGACACGACAACTGCCAGCTAGTTAATTGCTCGGCTGTCAAGTGGCCCAAGTGGTCCACACGTTCAGTTATATTGTGATGCTGCCACGAGTATGGGTCATCGAGCGCAGAGGAAATTTACAGTATCGTTAATTTTAAAGTTATCTGGGTCAACGGGTCGGCAAAAATAGTAATTAATTTGGTGTTTTCGAAATCGCTATTAATGTAACTGCACGGTTGGCGCGGGTGGCTAGGCAACTGGACGCTGTGCAACGTGTCGCGAGTTCGATTTCTGCACGGAAAAACTCTTTGTGTGAATCACAAATTCTTGTTCCGGGTTCGTGTGTGATGTGTATGTGAAATTGAATGTCTGTAAAGGCTCCCACAACACAGGAGACAATACAAACGGTGGGTAACGGTACATAAAAAAAACTGGTTGTAAATATTTATTGTTTTGAATAATATACTTATACGTTATTAATTCTGTTTTCAAATTTTTCTATCAGGTGTAAAAAGTTTTTATGTAATGATATCCAACTCTCAAGTCGTTGGTGGAGTGAACCCGCCGCGTATCGCTGGTACAGTGTACAGTGAGTTTTATAAAAAGAAACGTATCATGCGGTTGCTAATGGCCGCAGTTCCTGACTTTGAGTGATTTTGTGGTTTCGTCCGAGCGACCCATCGAGTGCCTGACCTTACAGGCTTATGACAAAGGACATCGAAACTTCGAGTATTTTTATATGTATTTTGCTATTTATTTAAAAATGACTGCCTTTTGTGCCCAAGTAGGTATACACATATATGTACCTAAGTACTTGCATAATTTGAGTTTTACATACGTAGTTAAGAAAATTTACTCTTACTTTAGTATTTATTTAATTTCTTTTTTTTTCTGTGATGTGTTTAGTTCCTTCTAATAAAGAATAATAGCATTAATGTTGGGGAGAAATTTCAAGATTTTTAAATTTAAATCTTTAAGTTATAATTTTCTGCTTATACATATACTAACAAATGTTTTGGAATAATCTGTATCAAGTCAAAAATTAATAAATATGTATCTAGTTTTAAATAGACGCAGTGAGTTATACATAGTTGTTAACATTTTTGTAGCTAATATTTTGATATAGTAGATACCTATACGTACTAATACTTAAGTAGTAAATCAAAATTCTTCTCTTTTCGTAAAACGATTGACATGTTACATTTATTAAATGTTAAGTAATAAAAGTTCGTAAATAAAGAGCTAGTTTCCAATTAACATCAATTAAATTAAAAAACATGTATTTTACTGTTCGATGTTTCGACTCGAACGAAATCAGTTCATTTGCTGACAAGTAACGCCATCTAGTTCACTACAAAAGAATTAATGCTGCAATTTTTTTTTTAATATTGAAATAAAGTAATAAGGCAATTTATTTATCGTTATCTTTATTTGCACATAATATTTATACTTATTTAAAAACATTCGATTGTCAAAATATTTTATTTATCTCACAAATACTGGGGAATAATTGTAATAGCACTCGGAAACAATTTCATAGTAGGTACTTAGTATGATACTTAAACCGATTAAATCATAGATAATGATAGATTTCCTCAATTTTATGATAACTCTAGTGACCTACTAACTTCACAGTTTGTAAGTTAGTTGTGTTTGTAAGTGAAGACCTCGTAGTCGCGGACAGTGAAGTTGTAGTCTGCGGCGAGCGAGGCGGGGGCGAGCTGGTCGCCGTACGAGTGCAGGTTGCTGTAACTCTCGCTGTTCGTGTTGCAGTTGCTAGAGATCAACAAGTCTGCGCCCGCGCCGAATATTGGACCGCAGCTGTTCAGACAATGCCAACAAAATGATTTTATTCTAACACAATTTGATAAGTTAAAGCTAAGCAGAGGTGAGAGTTGTGATGACGACATTATTCTTTATCCTCTCAAGGGAGTGGTAGTGGCCGATCAAGTGACACATTTGTAAGATCCTGGGGAGCAGCGCCCTTTAGTGGTGGCAAACCTATCTCAGCGGAGAAGGCTCATGCCTAACAATAGGCAATGAAAGGATTATGAGTGGCAAATAGTGTTCTGTAATCATTCTGGACGATTCATCAAAGGGATCGCGGCAGAAAGGACGCTCTGGAAATGTGGTGCTGAAAGCGACTACTGAGGATAAGCTGGACTACACACCACACCAATGTAAATAATGTATCCATACCAAAAGAGCTTCGCATCAAACAAAGACTTACTTCCATTGTACAAGCAAGGACTCTTAAAATGTTAGGTTAAATGACCAAACGTTGGTGGTGCAAGGGAGGATAGAGGGTCAGCGTCCTCGTGGTCGATCATCCACTAGATGGACGGACCTTATAAAATCAGTCACAATCAGCTCAATAGTGAAGTGCGCGAAGAAAGCCACTAACAGAAAAAAGTGGAGAGAAATTGCAAAGGCAGCCACCAAGAACATAACAAGATCACGACCACTCTGACAAGAGGGTACGATTGAAACGAATAATTGTGGTGTTGAAAACTTACTCGGGATGGTAGCAGAGAGCGAATGCCTTCTTGAGCAGCGTGTACCGCGCGGGAGGGTCGCTCAGCGCGAAGAGGAAGGCGCGCTCGGCCGGGATGTACCCGCCCGCGCCGCCCGCCGCCCAGCTCGCCTCGCTGAACCCGCCGATCACCTCGCCGCGAGAGCACTGGCAACACACATTCAACATTGTATTAAATTACCAAAGGCCTGGGTATGCAGGAATAAATGAACCGAAAAAAAAATTATGTGATAAAACGTCTAACGATCTGACGGATTGATGGTAAGAAATGAGAGCTACCCGTCGTGGTTGGGGGTGTTCATGCAACCACGGAGAAGTTACGTGTACGTAACGTTTTAGGGATTCAGGGATTGCCTAAAGCGCTACAACGGTACGCACTTATCTACTAACGAGGCCCTCCCCAATCGGGAGGGACCTTTCTGGGGGAAGGGAAAGATTGGGCTTGCGGTAATCTCACTCACACGGCGAAACAACGCTGTGGTGATTTCACGCAGGCGTTCTGTAAGACCGAAGTATCACTCCGGGCAAGCCGATCCATTCGTGCTGGAGCATGGCTCTCACACAATCAAACTCCTACATAAGTAGGTAATGAAACATATTTACCTACTTAGTATTTAGAAATGTTTTCCGTCAAGACTTTCGCAGTGAAACTGTTTCGCAGACACAGCAGATGTTAGATTTAATCAAGGTCCAACATGTTTTTGTCTAATACCTTTTAGGTTTTTTTAAGCTTTTAAATAATACCTGCACCAGTAGCAAGACGGGCGCGACGCCATCACAGTGTGAGTGGAAGGCCTGGGCGGAGTACCCGTGCGTCGACGCGCGGAATATCAGCCGCCACGACTGCTTCGGAGTACCGCACCTAAACATAATTAATATTTATGTAATATAGCAATTTCGAGACTGAATACTTATATATTTATGAGGTTGAATCCCCGACCCCTTTCTCTTCAAACCTCCAATTCTCAAATCCATAAATCTAAAAGGTTGGAATCGCACTTGTAAGTCCCTCGCAAGTGTTGTGGGTGCATCAATCATTTGCCACCATAAACCAACGCAATATAAATATACAAATATACCATGCAAATAAGAAATAAATTTTCTACCAGTTGTTGATGACAGCTTGGAATGCACTCTTCTCCTGCTGCAGTATCAATGACCCAGTGAACATGTTCACAGCCAAACTGAAAATATAAATAAACAATTTATTATTATCTTTATTTCTTGTTATTTTTAAAAAGTAGAGATATCGAAAAAAGTAGAAATCTTAGGCGACTTCAGCTCGTATTGTTTTCCCTGAAGATTAAACATGACGAGTGTAGGAGTACCTACAGATAATTAAATAAACAAGATTTCCATCTAAAGGTTGTATAGAAGAAAGAGCCTTGTGTAATAAGCCATTGCAATCACAACATTATTGTGTAGTATCTAACGTACTTATTGCTACTTAGTGTATGTGCGTAATAAAGTATATAAATATAAATAAATAGTGGCACGTACCGCGGCTGCGTCCGCTTGTCTGCGTCGTGTCGTATGGCGGGCGGCGGCGCGGCGTGGAGCGCGGCGCGGCGGTAGCGCTCCAGCGACAGCTCCATCGGCACCGCGCCCGTCGGCTCCACCTCCTCCGCGAACACGGCGCTGTCTGCGCACACACTCACCTTACTCTACTCTATGCTTTACCTCATCATTAGCTTGCTTTTTTGAGATTCAATCACACCTAGCAAGGTCTTTTTAGTGCAGGTCGTTTGCCATCCAAAACGAATAACAATGACCTTATAAATGGTTTGTTAGTAAATAAGCTGTGGTCCATCAATTTGGGTTAGTTACATACTTAATTAACTTAATGTAATTATTCGTTGCCTGTCTTTTTATCTAAAAGTTATGTAAAAAAACTATGTAGTTTTGTAGAATTGTTTGCAATTAGGTATTAACCTAAATCGATGTTAGTTAATAAACTGAATTTAAATAATCTTTGTATTTATATATTTAATACGACCTCTTCCTTTAATATAAAAATACATACCAAGTTAGCCTACGTATGACTTTAGTTAACCACCTAAACCGATAGACCATAACAACGTGGTAATGAAGGTGTCTATAATAGATAAGTGCGTACCGATGAGCAGGAGTCGCACATGCTGCATGAGCGGCGAGAGGTGATGGCAGACGCGGGCCCTCTCCTCCTCGGTCCAGTGTGCCGTTGGCTGCGTCACGCCAGCTCTTTGCTTCGCCCAAGCTAGAGCACAGCGCCACACTTCCTCCTCTTCAAGACAAAGCTGAAATAATACAGGATAAGAATAATAAAAATTTATAATTAATAAAAAAATATATAATTCGTTTACTTTTTAATTTATAGGAAATATTGTTTTATTAGTTTCCACGAAAAATTCCATAAATCAAAAGATAAAATCGCGCCACCTATTGGCCAGTAGCGGAATTAATAAAAGTTGAATATTGATAATTTCGCAAGTACATAATTAACAGATGGCGCTAAAGCAAAATTTTAGTTTTGGTGTATTTTCAGCGGTGGTACCTAGCAATAATAACGAAATAATTTTGAAAAATACTAACGAAGTCAGACGAAATAAGTTTGATAAGTGCTTCTTTGGGCAGATTGAGAAAGGCGTTGGTCTTGACACAGTCTGCGGCGTTGTCGCCAATAAATGAGATGCAACGCTCCATGAAAGACGACGCACTCTTACCACCTGTTGAGTAGATACACGGTAGGTATGTTATAACTTCTTGGAACTAGATTATTATTTAAGTACATAGGTTTTGTAAGACAGCCAGAAGTTTTAAAAAGTTTCACATCATTTTTCAATGACGATAACTTAAATGTACAGTAGGAACATATTATGTGAGATCAGAAAAAATCATTTAAATAGGTAGCACATTTTTAATTTAGTGTAGGTAAACATTGGAAACCTAGTTGGACACAAACTGAATCTGAATCAGAACTTCTTTAGGTATCACATAGGGCGACAAATTAGCAGACGGATTACCCGATGGTAAGCAATTGGACACCCGCAACACCAAAGGAGTTACGAGTGCCTTCCCGGAGTTTTAGGGATTAGGGTGGGATGTGTTCCATGTGGAAGGTTTGGGCCTCCGGTAACCTCACTCACACCGAGAAACAACGCTGTGGTTGTCTTACGCCGCTTTTCTGTGAGGCAGTCGTTTAGTCTTACTTACCATTATTTCAAATTGAATCCAATGATATATTTACTTAGTATGTCTGTGTTATGTACTCATAGAATACGGAGTCAGTCAAGATTATTTAGGAACTCAGGATTAGTGTTTAATTAAAGAATTTATTATGATAATAGCCGTAGTAGAATGTCTACGCTACTCTGTATCTGTAGGTTGTGGTTGGTGGCTAATGAAAACCAGTTCCACTACAATAGAGAAAGACTCAATTTGTTGTTCTAAATAAGCCAGACATAGAATTTTGATTGAGTAAAACTCAGATTGAGTAGACAGATAGATAAACTAGGTTTGACTCATATTAAGTTTATAGTCCAGTCAAATAGAAATAATATGGGAGGTCCGTGAAAGTTAATTCTATAGTGGCATTTTAAAATTTGAGGGAACAACCACACAAGTTGAGTGGACCCAGATCCATTGTAATGGAAAGCACACATTACCACCAGTTCAGGGTATTGAATAACATCATATAAACGACCACTCTTCCACTCCTTGTAGTTATCATTCAGCTACTCGAGTGTCTATTCTAATTACCGCATGATGTCTAACTTTTCTCATTACTGTACAGATAAGACATTTTGTTCCGTGGCTCATGTAAATGACATCCTAAGCTTAATTATGCATTAACTATTGCATTACAAATATGCATGTCTCACCATTCACTCCCTGATACATCAGACTTAAATGGTAACAAAACTTTTGAAAACTAGAAATTAAATTACTTTACCTAAGTATACCTTCTTGTGTAGCTCAACTCCTTGAGGGCTGGAATAGTTGTGATGTTATGTTATACACACAGCTAAAAAGACCCTCAAACATAGGAACTCTATGGTTATCACAATATTTAATTATGAATGTAACTGTTCCTTGGTTTTGAATTAAATGTAGTGCACTAACATTTACTAGCACACAAACTTGTACAACACTTAATTACATTATTGGGTGGTGAATTTTAAAGATATTTATTGTATAATAGTTACTCTTGTGCGGTTTCACCCACTGCTCGGCTCCATTTAATCGGAGCGTGATGTTTTACAGCCTATAGCTCGCAGGAACATTGTAGATATCTATCAGTGAAAGAATTTTGGAAATCAACCATATTGATTTTTAAAATGCAATTACTAGAAGTAGAAATACCTTACAATACACTTATAAGTTATTTACAATACATAGGATTTTTAACAGTTTGAGAGTTGCAAATACTTATGTGACACCTAACAGTCCATTTTTACTTAACTTTTATGATCAGTGTGGTATATTTTACATAGGTAATTAGCAAATAAAAATCGTTTAGCAGTTAACCTTAATTTTAATTGTGTAAACACGGGTACATTGAACTCACATGGACACAGCTTTAAAATAAAAAAGTATCTTCTTATACCTTGAGGAATGAACTTATTAACTATACTTCATAACCTATTAAACCGACGCACTCGGGTTTACGTTTTGAATTAACGTGATATTGTCCCCTTTCATCATTATTCTTCCGATTTGCTTTCTATTCTTAGTCTTCATGTGCACTTCTTCAGCTTCATCTAGCACTATGTTCATGTATTCGTCAAATCCCACGATGTGTCCCTCGATTCGTAGATTCACGTTCTCGTACAGCCAAATTTGCACTCGACTTCTGTTTTGCAAATACCTGAAGATAAGGTTGATGGGTTGCACCATCACCTTCTGGACTTTTGGTGGGCCTTTGTATGCCATTTTGAATTATACTCTTGCGATGATATTTAGATTTATTGTTACAAACAAAATGATAGCAAGCAAGCCCCAAAGAGTATGTAACCACTACGTTTAAGAGTCGGGACTCCCATACAAGCCAGTGGAATCAATTTACACGGCACTCTAATACCTACATTGCAATAAATAAAAGATGTCAGCCGTCAAAATCAATAGTACCAACCTAAAAGACCAAATAGTTCTGTGGTAGCTGTATACTAGGTTTAGTATCGATATCGATAATATTTATAGGGTAGAAATCGAGGCCATATTACTTTTTTAATTTTTAGTTTCGAACTTTAAGATAAAGTTTGGATTTGAAATAAAACAACAATGTGTTATATTAAAAACAAAAAATATATTTTTGTAATAGTATTCAAATTCATGTTATATACTGACGGTGTGTTAAGGACCTAACTAAAATTATTTAAATTAAGTGGTCTCTAATACTTAATACATATATTGGTTCAGTAAATTGGTTCTATGGGCACATACACTAAATCTTCTTTGCTAACAACTTTCACCCACTGCCGGCACCTGAAAAATGGAAAAAATCAAAATGTACAGTCCCTGACATGAATAACTCTAAATTGTGTAAACAGCTGGCGTTCCTTATATAATAAATGCATAAATTTTACGAATACAGTATACATAAATTTTTATCTACGTTTAATCATTAATTTCTTAAAATTACTGGGTTTGTCGTGTCACAACTTTGTTCAACAACATCTAATAACATCATAACTTCTTTGGTGTGGTCTGGAAAGTAAATCACGAAAGAATAAATAAATCAAGGGATCTTTGGAGTTTAGCCCACACATAAGTCTGTGACTATCGATACTTGAGGTACATCACTAGTACACAATAAGTACATGAAAATCAATTTACATGTATTTGTAGCCTTTTATACTTAGAATTAAATAAAATTATATCATTTAATGCTTACCGGTCCTCATCCAAAGGAAATTTCGCCATAAACATCCTTTTCTCGCCATTTTTACGACCGGATCGATCTCCGCAGATTTCACAAGTTAGAAACCGTTTTTTGGTGGCATTTTACTTGAACACGTAACTAGTCACAGCCGTATCACTAACCACTAATTAACTAAACAAATTATACGTAAATTTATGAAATAATGAAAATAACAACATAAACTTACAAAAGCAACGACATTCAAAGTTTAAAACTTCAACCAAAATGGCCGACGGATTAGTGAAAGAAAGAGAACTGTACTGAGGGAGTGGGATGGCAATATCCGGCTACTTCCGTGTGCCATTATTTGCCGTGCCAAGTCCATACATTTTTATTTTTCTTCTAAGTTGCGCTAGGCTGGCAAGCCCGGCTTGGCGGCTTTCAATCTGTCAAATTGTCAAGAATTTTGTCTATGGTCGTAATGACGCCTACTTTTAGAGTTGTCAGTTGTAAAATATTGCTTAATTCGTCAAACTGGAAGTTTATTAGAAAACTCGTTTTTTATTATGTCGCTTTTTCAAAAAACTAAGATTCGATTCGAACTTTATATTATTATTTGATAATGTTATATATAATTTACAGAAGTGACCTGAACTAGAAATTTTGAACCGAGCCTGTGCCACATTTTTAGAGATTACCATAAACAAAAACGGGTATTGTCAATGTGCTAATAAAGCTAAAAACAAAAATATGCCGTTTTCAATGGAAGAGGAAAATAATGATACAAGTAGGAAAAAATCTCTTTACGAAATATTAAAATTAGTAGGCTATGAACTATTTTGTAGTTTTTATTACGTAGGTACCTTTAAAATTATTTTTTGACGGTAACGGTAACACTTCTTTGATTTAAGATTAATTTTTCTAATTTTGTATTATACATTTAATTAAAAATAAACATATTTATTAATAAGCTTTGAAAAAATTGTTATCAAAAACAAAAAGTGTGCGATGGCCGGGAATCGAACCCGGATCAACTGCTTGGAAGGCAACTATGCTGACCATTACACCACCATCGCACTTACTGTTGCAGTCGAAATTGTGGTTCAGTAAATATCTGACATATAAAACTCAAGTAAAGATTATTTACCTGGGCGATCTTGAATTTCCATTGCTGCTGCTAACAAGGTACAGGCACTTTCAACACTCAATGTAGACGTAACATGATCTTCACAAGCTGATCTCAAATCTTCAACACCTAAATCGGCTGCTAAAGTCATCATTTCGAAAACTCCTGAGTCTTGTAGCAATAGCTGAAAAATGTTTTGAAAACTAACTTATATCATAGTTATAGTGTAAATTAGCGACATCTAGGCAGTTGTGGTACAATTATGACCATTAGCAGTTATCTCTATATACATTTTATGTAAATACCTAGCAAATTAAATCGAAAATAAAGAATATTATATTTAAAAAAAAATTGCGACGCACCTTGCCGGTGTAAACATATTGAATAAAGAGACGAAATGTTTCAACTTGTACATGCGGCATTCGTATTGGTGTTGGCTGCTGGCCGATAGATGGCGTTACGGAACACCCTGGAATACGACAAACTTCGCCTCGTTTCGTGTTCTGAAAACTTTTGCATCTGGAAAGAAAAAAGAAAATGTCTTTTAGGAGTTACTTGGGAGTTGTAAAGCTGGCAATTTACCTTTATGTTTAGAAACAATTTTAAGATGGTTCAAGTTGGTAAAGAACCTGAATCCAAACGTACTTTTAACAAGTAAAGCACTAAAGTAGTTTAATATTACACAAAGAAGGGAAGCATCTTGCAGTCTGTAATTAAAAACCGATAATCTCTTCTGAGGAAATTATAGCGCAGTGCGCGGATAGCTCCCTAGGAAAAACTTAAAGTTGTCAAGTTGCGCATAACTTGTAAGTTCTTGTAAGTTATGCAAAAGCTGCATACCGTGGAAGCGTGGAGAGCAATCGTTTAAAATAGCGCGTTTATTAACAACTTAGTCGGCGGAAGGCGAACTTTCAAATACGACTTACAGTTAATGGACACTAGTCAACAAATTCGAACAGGTTTTAAGCTATATTAAAGTTTGATTATTAATAAATATTTTAAGTTTTATATAGATATGTTATAATATCTATAGAATAGGTACCTACCTAATTATAAAGTTCATTTAATTGTCAGTATGTATTGTTTAGAGACTTGTTGACCCCATAGTCAAACTATTGCGTCAAACCATTGCGACTGTTTTGTGGGGCTTAGCTTATAATAAAGGTACTTACTTTGAAATTTAAAGATGAATAAAAAGTAACTAAAAACTAATATTGATCTACAATTAAATTATGTTCTAGACATGATGTTAATTTATTGTTATCTAAGTAGATGGATATAACAATTAAACATATTATTCAATGAACGGACAAAATCATTCAACTGGGTAAAGGTAAGCTCAGAATCAAAAATGAAGAAAATGCCTCAAGTAACGTCTTTTATGTTCATAGATACTTGGCAGACACGCAATTTGAATACTTAGCTGAAGGATTACGCGAAGATTAGTGCCATGTGTGTGTCATGGCGGCCTCGCGACAGGTTCGTTATTTAGTGTTGATTAGACAAGCCCGCCCAGCCTCTATCTCTGCTGATTGGATTTGTTATTGACTAAATTCAATTTTGAACTTAGTTCATTCGGCGGCTGTGATTTATCACCTTGTTTGCGTAATGTTACGATAATTGGATTGGTTCAGAGACATACGATATGTTATCTCATTGGTAATTTAGGGAGATTTCAAACACATTTGGTGACGAAGTAATCGGACCTAGATATCATCGGGGTTTTTAAAGTCTTAAGTTGAAAAACACAATTCAGACATTTTTTTCCAAAATTTTCTTAAAACTTCTTCTAAACGTATAAGAGGGACCTTTCAAGAGATTCGCCGGGGATCGTGATTAATTTTGAATGTAGAAAAATATATTGAACCGGTTGTCTATATTTCTCATGTTCGATCACTTATCTCGGGTTAATAATAGATGGGATCCAGGTCTGCAGCATTAGCTAGGTCCCAGGAGCACCCATTAATGTGAGGAGCCACACCGTGAGGTCGCGTCCTTTGAATATTTCAATGCGTTTTGACCGCAAACGCCGTATACATCAACATCTCGAGGGACTTATGAGATTGGAAGCTAATTTCGTAAGTAATTTTACGAACAAGACAAACAATATACTCCTACGTACTAATAGTTTTGCTGGTAAAATGTTCGGTTGGTTTTGTCACTAACTACTCGGGAGTACGATTCAATAACTCTATTATCATTTATAATGTCTTTGAGATCCACAATCGCAGAGGGAAGCAGAACACTATTATAAATAAATCAGTGTAAACTAAAGCCAATAGTAGGTGTAATAATTTATGCGTGTAATCGTATTAGTGGGTGCCGTAGCAGGTGGGCTCTCGTGGGCGACCATCCTCGGGCACTAAGTTCCCCGCCCAGCTCAATTAATTGTGAGCTCGGTGTAGCGTTCATTAACTGATTTATTTGCGGCACGTCACTGCTTCCCGTGTTCCTGTGTACCACTTGAGAGCATCCGCAAACGCTGTAATAGATCTTGACTTGATATTTTGGCGTATTGTAGTACAACTACATAGCTCGTTTAGTCCGGCTTATTGTAAGACTAACAAATAGGATTATCTAGTAAATATGTTTCCTGTCTAATGATGCAGAAAAGAGTCACTGTAGGAGATTGAACAGTAGAAGATCGTTTTCTTGATTTGTATGTGTGCGTGAATGTAAAACACAAAACTATAAGTATCTCAGGACATAAAGGAAACAAATATCCGATTAATCAAAGTCCCACAAACCGCGTGGTATACAGTGTACTCGCGGTCCGCGCGGTGCTCTGGAGATTTGTTTGCAATTAATCACAGTTTGAGCTGGTGTCCTTATAATTAATTCAACGAGTGTGCGCCGCGGTGTGATGGTCCAGAATCTCGGTGGAGACCATTAATCTTGGTCGAGGGCCGAGTGTTCCTCACAGAGTGGCGAGCAGACTCGACACTAGTCGCTGATTGAACTTTCTCTACTAGGTACCGACTGCAATGTTATTCCTGATTCGTACATGGATGTACATTACTCGCGTGCTTGGTTAAGATTTGATTGTCAGGTTACAAGGCCAACTTATGTCATTGTTTAAGCTAGTATTGAGTGTATTGTATTGTTACATATTTAATAACTTCACTGTTATATAATGCAGCGTAACTTTACTATTTTAATCCCTTATTTTTAGTGTCTTCGTAGGCATCTCCAACGAAAGTGTCGGGTCTCCCATGCCTAGCGTTAGCCGCACTAGCTCGGTGCTGTCACTCCCAGAGACGGTGACTAATGGAGCGACCAGCTCTCACTTACACTTTTTGCTGATTTCCATTTAACACGTGGACTCCAGAAGGAGGATTTAAAATATCACTTTCAAGGATTTTCTCGTGGAAAACAGATTGTTTATTGATTCAACTATCGGGTCTTATGTGATCATTAATCATTAAACGTAGCAGGTTCATCCAGCTTGTTTGTAATTTAATGTTTGAATACTATTAAACAGCTGTTTTCGAAATTCGATTTTGTTCTATAAGTCGGTTAATTCAGGTGTAGCACCTAGCTTCACTGACGAACAGACTGACAGACTACTATTCTATTTTGACGTTTCAAAAGTACCTATTTATGGTTTAGTTGAAATAAATGATTTTGACTTTTAAGTACATACGGATATTTGACTTAGGTAGTATCAGTATTATAACTGAATTTCGTGAGTGGTCCGTAGTTTCGCAGTACCGTGCTGTGATTAACTCGATTAAGTGAGGTCGCGTGCGGCGTCGCGAGTCGCCGACGTGGACACGTCGCCCGTCACTGCTCGCAGTAATTGACACGTCACCATGTCAGACCCTCCTCTAATCTCATCCGATCACGTATGTTACTTATGTTCATACATTTTAATTAGAAAAGCGGAAAATGTTACTAATGGCCATCTCGAAGCATGGTCGCCAGGCTAGAGGCATTTCTGTGGCTACTGTAACTGATAATTAGATCAGGTCAAGATCTTTTTTATTTACGTTTATGTGGTTTCATTGAGTTTAGATTTGATCTGATTTATTTTTCGGTCATAATGTATAGGTAACTTACACTGACCTTCTTGTGCGGAACTACGTGAACAATAAGTTCTTAAATAGTTCAATTAATATTGAAATGACATTGCAATCTTAAAACGTACTGAATCACAACGGAGAGACACATTCTTTGGAATTCAATTATTGGCTTTAATATGAACTGTTAACGCCGTAGTTTCGGTTTGACGCGTCCAACTTTTAATAGCGTTCCTTCCGCGACACTAGCCGCTCTGCTAACATGTCGCCTGAGCTTGAACACTCCGCTTACTAAACTTTATGTAAAATATCTTTTGTTGTGACAAGTTTGCAAAAGAATACAACGCATTGTTTAGTTATAAGTACAGATAATTATGAGACTTCTAGCTCCTATGCTAATAAACTTAGTCCATACTTAGATAATTTTCAGTACATATATATTTATACTTGGCTTAAAAGTTATTATAGTTTCTTGCTTCTAAGTAGGTGACGTAACTTTATAGCAATAGCGTAACGTTTCAGAACGAAAAACCGATGTAATCATTGAGGAGCACAAAATAAAATATATTTTAATCATTGTTTCTACATAGGTACTTAGGTTTTTAAGCTGTTTATTTCAATAAAAATAGTTTCAAACAATTTCAAACTTAATCTTAACATGGAAAAGATTTTACAGTTAAGGAGTTGCTATTACATTACCTACAACTCATGAAATGTCGCAGGTATATTCGTAACTACATACCTACTAACCTTAATGATCCCATAAATCATTATAAAATCGAGTGCAGATTGAATAACCGACATCTGAATAACTTAAGTAAAATACATGACCGACAAGGGAATTGTTCGCACTTAATAAAATTAACTTTGCTATTTGTTTGGGTAAAAAACAAGCTTTCTAAACACAATCTCTGCCAGCGCGGCGGCCATGATTGATGACGTCATGACCGCGCGCGCAACGCGACGCGACATCGTGACAACGTTGACTCGTAATTTGCGTCATGGATACTCTGGTGACCAATTTCATATCACGATCATGGATATCGGAATAAAGCATTCGGGTAAAACACTAATTTATCTAGTTTAGTACTTAGTTTTGCCCAACTGTGAAACTTGTTGTTTGGTCAAAACTCTCATGGTTATAAAAGCTAAACGGCTTACATTTTATTCTACTTTGTTAAGTTTGTAAAGCTACTTTATTTTGTTTTTAATTTCCAGACATACATGGACTTTAGCTTTATGTAATATATTAAGTTGCGGACCATAAAATTATATGTTTGAATATAACTAATCAATTATTGATAAGACAAAAATGCTAGTGATAAAAATTTAAGTTGTTGTCTCTGGTTAACAAAAAGGATAGTGTCCCGAACGATCACGATTAATCGTAGGCTCGCCGCAGCCGTCGGCTGTCTGCTGCTGATGCTGGTACTGTACGGGATATTAATCACGCTCTACTTCTTGCACTACTTATAATTATAGCCGTTGTTTACGACACAA